ACGGTCTTCTCGGTACTGCAATGTGACATCTGAATTTCGAGCCTCCTCTCGTAGGTATTTTTTTCGCAGTAAGGGTCGGGGACATAAGTAAATTAATTATTCAGATACCGCACCGTGGCACGCGCGCTGTCCTCCCTTAGTCGGAGCGCACGATTTCATAACGATCACGCGGGTTTTCGTAACAGATGGGCACTTATGCTAAGTACATGTTTTGTGTAAATATAACTAGTAGGTGCGAGTAGACAGCTGGCCCTTTGAGAAGTACAGTTTGAATTACGAGAGGGTATCGAATATGCTGGAAAATACAATGGACATTTGTAATCACACTGAACAGTTGTCTTTCGGGCAATATATGCATTTACCTGCGGAGCGATTATACCTGACAGGGCATCGCAGAACATCTTCATTTTCAGTTTCTGGCATGGCCATGTATCGATGAGCGATGGTACTATAGACGAAGTCATATAATGATAACTCCAGGCTTCCATAACACTTGGTGAAACAGTAGTGTCGCGTCTTCGGCACCGCAAGGACAACTTAGTTCGTACTTCCTGTTTTAATGTTGAACTCATTGCTCATCTTGTGATACGAGACACGAATCAAAAAGTATTTTCGTGGAAGGTGTAATATAGACATAGACATAGACAACTCTTGCAAAATAACTTGTGCGTGTCGATCGATGACCGACTAATGGATTTTATGGACACTGGTGATATTTGTTTCCTTGACAGTAGTGCAGCTCTGTTGAAAAGCGGCTCATTTTTCAAGTTCCCTGCGGAGAGCACGTTTCGGTCAGAATAAAATAGCGTGACGAAATGACTATCTTCTATCGGTAGAGAAAAGTGTATCGTGAGTATTCCAGGCCTCCGAGGAAAATTGGAGGAAGATTGGAAGGGAAAAGTTTTTGATTGCTTAGCAGTATCAATAAAAATATAAAATTGTATTATTTTTATCTTATTATAATAGCAAATATAAATTATATTTTGTTCTATGTATAATTTGAATTAATATATTCGTGTGGAATGCTTCAGGGATATTTTACTACTTTACTGTGCTGTTATAATCTCGTCGGATATCGATCACGACACGTCAAAGGACGATAGTAACGTAAAGTACGACATCGAGCTTTGCACGACCTAAATGAGAACAGTTAAAGGTCATACACATCTTTTTGGTTTGATATGGTTTATAACGTTTGTCATGTTAATTGTTTTACCGTTGTGAAACTTTCTAGAGAAAACACGTATATCTTGCCGGCGGTCAAGATACTAGCTTCGAGACTTCTTTTCATCGCGAATAAGAGCAGTCTTTGTTCCTTCACTGGTATGGTAAACCACAAGCTCTGATATCTAAAATTATACTTGCATTGTTATCATTACATACAAAATAAATACAATAAATAAGGAATACAGTCTACTAATTGCAAGAAAAATTTAATTTTTATGAGTATTTCTGTGGAAAATATGTCTTGTATATCAGTCAAACAGCTAATTAATTTTTTAATTTAATATTGTCTCTTACATCTTGTCGCAAGTCTCGAGGCTGTGATTTATTAACTTTTGTCCTTGGAAGCTTAAGCAGAACAAGTGAAACAATTGAGCAATAATGAAGACGAAGTATCTCATCGCTTCCGCTGAATCGTGCAACTGTATCGACAGCTTAAACGCAAGAAAGATAAAATCCTATTTTAGCTCCTTATTACATTACAAATTTCTTGTACTTGCCTATTCATAAGTAACTCACTTGTACTAAAGTAATGCTCAAGCCAACTGTTACGATCAGAAGTTGCACGGCAAACGATATTGTAAAGGTATCTTCAAGAAGTTTAGCGAACCTATATTGAGAATACGACACTGGTGACGATTAAATAAAACTTATAAAAGCAACACATCAGTAGTTTATCAATGATCATTCTAGTTAATTAGCATTGAAAATTAATGATACAAAAATGTGCTACAATGTTATTATATACTTACTGCAAAGCTTGTCGATGAGCGTGAATCGAAATCACAATATTCTTGTGATACACAGCATCCGGATAATCGATCATACTTTTTTCCATAGCACTAGGTTTATATGACACATGCTCAAATCGAAATCTGCAATTATTTACGCGAACCAACGTTATTAGAAAGTTTTGAGAATTAATGTCTGCTGCTTTCAAATAATGTATACAAGAGCTAAAACTATTATTACGTTATGTGTACTATTAATAGAAAATTTTATTTATCTCCTATATTTATAACTAAAAGAGATGTGATCTCACTTTTGGTATAAATAATCATTACCCAACAATGGCGAAAAGACCGCAAATGTGTTCGACGTAAACGAAAAACATGCTATCGTGCGCAATTAATCCGGTCATGCACACACTGCTGGTAATTAACATATGAAGGAAAATATAATAGAAATATTGATTTTCATCAACGAAATAGTATGCCGGATAAGCTAACATTACAGGGCGAGAAGTATTCAATGGAAATACCACATCCAAAATGCGTGGCACAAGAGAGGTTGTTGTAAATGAAATGGTAGACACGTAAACGTACGCTGCAACGAAAACAATATTGGTGAAAACGAGCTCCAACTAAAATCATTTTTTTAATATAGGAAAGAATTATGTGATAATGAAAATATTTTATAGTTTATTTTTATTTTTATTTTTACACATACAAGCATATCTTTCTCTTTAGAAATTTTCCTTTTTAATCAATATCTATTCTATACTATTCACATTAATGTATTACACATTAATGTGTAACAGAATGTGTCAGGTTTTTTATCTTAACAGAATGAAGTTGTAAATTCAAATATTTTTAGTTTGCACTAACGATTTTATGTAGAAAAAAAATCCTTTTTTTTGTGCAACATATATCTTTTATACTTTGATATAACGTCAGTTAAGCTATACATTAATATTTGAAGCACTATACGCAAGCGCGATAAAAACATATAATTTTAATTCTTTAATTGCATAAAGAAATAGATCTGTTCGATTCTCAACTAAAATCGAATAATTACGTACAGCCATATGTCAACGCGTACCATCTGCCGTTTTGTGCGTACTTTTTCATAATGTCGTGTTCTTCCTTAGTTTGGATCATATCCCAGTCTACGAACAAGCGATCTGTGAGATCTTTAATCTACAAACATCACCGATATATTCGATATCTCAAATGCAATATTCTCTCAACAGATATAACAGTTTTCTCAACAAGATCTAAGATTTAATAATAAAGTTATTCATGTCTGCGACTTAGAGAATTAGAATATCAATAATATTCTTATTAAATGGACGTACTTTCCGGCTGTTAAACTGATACGTGAAAATTTTCACCAGAATCATCACTGTCAGCATATGTGGAGGTAAAGTTTCATAAATACATACCGCGTTATCGCATATGAAAAATCTTGCTATCTGAGAAATTGCATTCATTTGTAAATTTTATTTAATTCCGAATCCTAATATACATCTATTATTAGTTTTTTTTTCTAAAATAAAAATTTCAACGCTAACGTTACCTGTGTAACAAGTGCACTGGCATCAAGAATGAGTATGAAAGTCAAAAAAGACAAACTCTCTTTCAACTTCTGATAGGGCCACTGGCCGACTAACATCAGGTACCACTTACAGATATCGTAATAGTAATCACTACTATGTTCCATACTTCACGAAGAAGTGGTCACTACAATGTTATCTGAATTTCGAGACTTTCCTCGAAAGGTCTTTTTCTCGCCAGAAAAGTGTCAGTTATAAATAAATAAATATTCTAGATACTGCGTTCCGCATACTTACTCGTCTTCCTCCCCTAACCGGGCGCGCAAGCGATCACGGGTTTTCGTAGGTGACAGGCACTTACGATAAGTGTAC